CCGGCTCGCCGGCTTGCTCCGAAATATCACTCTCTATCCTCGTGTAATTAGTCGCCTCCTACACGGTTGTTCTGTGTCAGTTGAGGCCAAGAGCTCGTTTTCATCGTTTTACATATCATGCAAGTCCTAATGGTCAATTCACGAAAAAAAAGCCAGAGAGAAGTCTGGGAAATGATACGACATTAAGAAAGTGGCTGATGGCGTGACAGATTTAGCTATGTGTTTTGCACTCAGATAAGTCAATCTCTTTCAACCAATGAGAGCGCACGTTATATCATAAATGTATTTAAAATCGAGTCATATCCGGAGTGCAAATTGTTTTTGGCTATACTATATCAAGAGAATGTTTTATATTCTCTTGACTATATCCTGAACACCGGTATGGAATTGACGTGGTATTGATCGCAGTTACTGTTCTGACTAAATTGCTTACAAATTTTAGCCAATAAAACATTTTTGTTTGGCTTTTACTTTGCTTTCGAATTCCATGGGTTTGTACAGGGGGCATTGAGAACCCAAAATGAGGACAATCGACGCGAAGCGCGTGAAAACAAGAGAGCAAAGCGCTTGGCTTTTGTTTTGCATTACACTCGTTGAGAGGATGGTTTAGGTTACCTGGGCCTGAACAGGTCTAAGAAAAAGAAAAGCCAAACTCGATTAACTCCAAGTTTTTGAACCCATTGCATTTGCTGTGAAATCACAACTTTTATTCTGATTATTATTCACTTGTGCTATTGGCTTACCTAAATTTTCATTTACATCAGTAAAAATTTCCCTTAGTACACTGGGTGTATCATTTCTTGGCACTACTAAAGTAAAGTTTTACTCCCTTAAATAGGCTTGCCACTCATTTCGAATACAGCGTTCTTTCGCGGTGGAATCATTCCTGTGTTTCACACGGAGATGGCATGACAACTGCGGTTTTTCCTTTAAGCCCATAAATGAAGTCGTTCCATTTGCAAACATTCCCTTCCCCTGCAAGGCAAGATTACGAGAGCCTCTGCATCTCTTTTGCGGGAAGCACTTATGATCACGTACATATTCAAGTTTTCCAGGTGGCTGTGGAAGGCTTGAGCACGATCAAATCTTCCTCGAGCGAGTCTTGCTCTTGTCCTAAAACCAAAGAACCATCTTCCCTAATAGACCACTGCCTTGTTCGAGACTTCAATCTTCATGAAACTTTACGGTACCATTACTACTTTACCAAGTAAAGCAAATGTGATGCCAGTTTCCATCATTGGCCGATCCAAGTTCTCACCTGTGATATAAATGCAATTACACATTCATTTGGAGAAGCTCTTTAGCACTAAAACTAAATTCTACATAAATCTACCAAAAACTGAGCCTTCTGAAATATGAATTTCTTCGACGACCATGCCTAAAAGTTTAAATTCCTGATCTTCTATCAAAAGCAAAACTGGAATATGTTGTTAAAGGTAAACAATGAGAACACAGCAATTCAGGATATCAAATAATTAGCGTGCGGTGTACAAAGATTTTCGTCGCTCTTTGCATGGGAAAGGAATAACTTATAAGCAAGATACGCAAGTTGTTTTATGTATCTGACATTATGTTAGAGATAAAAAATTTAGTGCTTTCTTTTGCGTCAAGTGTTAGCTATTGGGTTGTTCAACGACTTACAATGATTTGGTTAACTCTGTAAACGAAGCTCACCTGTTTGCAGCTGCTATACTGACATTGAATCTTCTGTAATTTTCGACGATTAGTTCATTATGACTTTGTGGCGCATTGTAGCTGAGTATAGTGCTTTCTCTGGACTTATCACTCGTACGCATCCAGAAGCATATGGCAAATGCGGTCAAACTAGGCATACCCGGATATTGGCGTAACTAGTCACATCTTTGGTTGGAAAATAAAGAGCGTAGCCTGTTTGAAAAAAACAAGAAAAAATGTAAGAGCAACAAAATGTTATTTTATTGTCATCCTGTTCCTTATCCATCTAAGGTTTGTGTTTAGCCTCATTACACAAATGGCGTCTATGGTGGCAGATTCAAGTTGAGGGCCCTTGTCATCATTCTTAGGGGTTTTTATACCACTTGCCTGTCACTCAAATTCGGCTTTAACAGATCCTACCACGCTCCTAGGCTCATAAATTTTCGACTGCTCTTATTCTTACATGCAGCTTCTTTTTACCCCACTTATCCTGAAGGGATTCAACCCGCGTTTTTAAACTGTACCCTTCAATGATGTGTCCCTTTGTAAGTCAAACACTGCTTGGTTGCTTTGATCATGAAACACTGTGATATGTTGGCCGGAAAGTAAGTCATAAGTCAGACTCAGTTCCGATAATATTCAGTTTCTCCGAACAGAAAACCAAAAGGAAGGCTCCAAAGGAAAGTCGCTCGATTGATGATGACTTTCCGGCCAGCATATGACTTGGAAAAGTATTCCCTTTCAAAATGTCCACTGCATAAAAAGGAATTTTCACTCACGGGCGTGTTTTCCCGTTTGATCCTGACTAGCCAAGTCGCCAGAAGTTGCTTGTTGTTCATTGCCAGTGAATGCCCCGAAAGATGCTGGCAATGTGGTTTATCGCTCCGGTGGTTGCATCCAAATGCAATGCAATGTCTAACCATGGCTATCTTTGCCTTTTGAAGGCTTCAGATTGTCATTAAAAGTAAAAAAATAGCGTAAAATGTTGTTTTGATATATACAGATACGTATATAGATAGCTTTGAGAATTTAGAAGGTTTTTGGCCCAAGTGCCTCGATTCCGTGCATCTTTAAACAAAACCGCTTTTACGCGGGCTCAGATCTAAAGAATAAAAAGATTTAAAGAATGGAAACGGCCGCAGGAGTCTGAAGCAGAACGATTGTTACATACTGTGTATTAGTTGGTGAAGACGTTTGTTCATTGCCCTTGATCTTCCTCTCAGAAAGTGAAACCTGCAGCTTTTAGAGGCACTTATGATTAAAGGTCACTTCATGAAGGAGTGTTAACAAAACTTGAATTTTAAGAAAACTTGGAAGTACAACTAAAGATGACTAACAACAGAACCTGCAACTTTAAGTAGTGCTTAAAGGGAAGCAAAAGATTACAGAAACCTTTAAGACGCCTTAAGAAGTACAACTTTTGGTTGACTAAAGATGAGTTTACGAGAATTAAGAGGATTCTTAAAGTCAATTAAATGCTTATTTAGGTTTGCTTTCATGTAATGACTTAGATTAAATCCTTTCATCGAACAGTTACTTACCAAGTGCATTCGTGTGAAGGTAACAGCAAAATTTACGAGCTTAACTTGGTAGATCCTGACTATGGTTCAAAAGTTGATGCCATAATAATTTTTAGTCCAAGATCACTAATGGGCTTCTTATCTCATACTTTTGAAACAAGTATCATTTGAAAGAGATACCGAGTTATTCCACCGGCTTAAGAGCTTCAAAATGAGGAAACTACCGAACAGGATCAGCTAAGATTATAAATCTTAGCCTATACTAACTGAACGTTTTCACGACAAAGTTTCAAATAATTAAACGAGTTGCGAAAACAACTGTTACCATAATCAAAACTCACTTTTTGAAATCTCCAGTCCTCGAATGAATCCTGATTTGGTAGTGGAAAATTTAAGGAAATTATCATCTCTAGTCTGATCTTGTTTGTGAAGAATATCAGGTTGATCCACCTGCTTAAAAGCTTTAAAGTAAGGGTCTTGATGTTAGCAAGCGAGTCAAGAATTTAAAGAAAGCGACAAAGCTTTTGAGTCTGTAAAACATGTTTTCGTTGCAAGTCGACTTTGATGAAATATTTTGAGCAGTTTGCGGCCCAAGAACACCTCTTGTTCGTTTGTTCAATCAAGCAGCCAAGCATATCTTTCCGTTTCCATGTTAATCGACTTAATGAGATATTCAGTAATGTGGTGATTCGAAACGGCCGCAGACGTCTGAAGAAAGCATGTATCTTACTAAAAATGGCACACCGATCGTAACATACTGTGTATCAGTTGGTGAGGACTTTGTTGATTGCTGTTGGCCTTATTCTTCCTCTCAGATTCTAGCGTTATTTCCCTAAGAAACTTCCGCCGTAACAATGCCAGTTGTGTCTGAAATAACCACAATACCTTTGGTTAGAAACTACTACTAGTATGTGCTTATCTTAGTGTAGAACCAAGGTATAGGCGAATAATTGAAAATATAGCCACATACCTGTTTTAGCTAATCAACGCTCTTTTCCTCTGATCCTTAGTATATTTTAAATGATTTATGGTAATTACGCTCCCCCATCCGTTTAACTCTTTCTGTCTTAGTTTAAGTGACAAGATACACTCTTTCTTGTTAATCTACATGAATATATGACAATCTGTGATTCTAATTGTACCATGTTGTGCGGTGTAAATAAAGTTATTAGGTTTTTTTCGCAGTTGTAGTGAGGTTAAAGACGAAAAACTCACGTTTACCATGATATTTTGATATATTGTTAGACAAGAAAACTCACGAAACAATTGATGTAGCTTATAAAAGACACGACTGAGATAATTGACCTTGGAATATGTTTCGTCAGTCCATGACTTAGTGTTACTTAGTTCTATAAATATGCTGTTTCGGGTATGATCGTAAATCAAAACTTCTTTATGCGCGCGTAAACCCAACGCCCCTCAATTCAATTAGCATGAAATTGAGATAAAAGTGGAGGTACCCCGTATACTTCTGGCCGGTAAGACTTCGTGCAGTTTGTGGCAGAAAGACTTCACGTCCAGCCTTCTTCAAGTTCGCTGTGAATTCGCATTCCCGACTTAGTGTTAATTAGCTATGTAGATATGTTATTTCAGGTATGATAATGTACAAAACTCCTTCATGCGAGGGGGAACCCAAACACTTCGATTCACTCCAGTTAAGCATGAAATTGAGATAAGAGTGGAAGTGCAATACATCCTTCCTGTCGGTAAGACTTCCTACCTTGTGAAGCGGAAAGACATCTTGTCCAAGCTTCTTCTAAGAATATATAAAGGCGATCGGCACCTGATATTCCATAGAGATTGCAGTCAAAGATAGCAGAAATAAGTGCATCTATCTTCAAAACTGCCTTTTTAAGCTAACGAGACTTACTGGTAAATCCATTTGGCGAGGAAAGAATGGCTCCTGTAAGTATCGTATTTTTTCAGCTCAGGCTTTCCGATAAATTTCAGAAAGAAATCCAGCAATTTTGTCCCGTCTGGACTTGAACTTAAATGTTTTCAGGTGAACCGACAGTATCATAATTCCTGTCCGTTTGGTAATTGTTTTAGTCCTACTGAGGTAGCAACGCTTATCAGATAGGAGCAAGATTTTGCACTGCAAAGTCAATCGAATAATCTCGCTGCGTCCTTTTTTTTTTTGCACTAAAACTTCCTCTCACATCGGAATTCTAAAATTCCAGCTATCGATATCTACGCACGATTACTTCTTCTAACAACTAAGCCGAGTCGCATCACGTACTCTGCTCTATGTATGCTCTATTTTGGCTTTGAACTAAAAACTCCCCTATGCGAACGTTATACACAATAGCTGTTGAAGAGTTCATAAACAGATGAGCTATAAGAACCACAGGGTGAGATGATAAGATCGTAGTTGGTTTCACGTGACTTTTATCCAATCAAAATATTTTTTCATGGACAGTAAAAGCCTAGCTATGCGCTTGCAGTATGCCAAAGACCGTACATGTAAACGCCATGAAGTGCAGTTCCACGGACTGACCCTATAGATGCACCATCGGTACTTGCTATACCCAATTGTTGTATATTTAAAGCTTAGGTGTGCAGCCAAGCAAATTTATTCCCGTTTTTGTGGTTTCTTGTACAATTTTCGGGCAAGATTTCTGTATAACCCCATACATTAATTATGCATAAAGTGTTGCAAAGAAACTTTTATATTCAGCCTTTATGAAATAGCATGCATAATATTAATGTATGGGGTTATATGGATATCTTTCCCAATTTTCGTCGCATTAAGTTGGCAGTTTTTGTTGGGTATAGCCTCCAGATGGATAACAAAAATACGCAACCCAACAGTCACTTATTTTTAAAATCTCTCTTTTACATAACCTCATTATTTTATTCCCCGAGATAGCTTGCCTTTGCCCTTGTTTTTCTTTATTGTTCACAAACCCATTCAATTCAGGAACTTCACGCGTTCACAATCTTGTTGCTTTTTGATATTGTTTTCAAATCCATGAAATTTGAAAGCAAGAGAAAGGCCAAAGCGAAATATTTCATTGGCTAAAAGTTAAAACTTATTCAGTCAGAACAATGAATACGACTTATGTGATCTCACTGAGCAGCTAGGCATGTCTTTCCTTTTGGATTCAAGTCAACTTTAAAGAGATATTTTGAGTGGTTGGCGGCCCAAGGACAAATATTGTTCCTTTGTTTCATTAATCATCTAGGCATATCTTTCCTTTTCGATGCAAGTCGACTTTAATGAGATATTTTGAGTGGTTGGCGGCCCAAGGACAAATATTGTTCCTTTGTTTCATTAATCATCTAGGCATATCTTTCCTTTTCGAGACAAGTCGACTTTAATGAAATATTTTGAGTAGTTAGCGGCCAAGAACACCGTGCCTTGTTCGTTTGTTTAATCAAGCAGCCAAGCGTATCTTTCCGTTTCCATGTTAGTCGACTTTAATGAGATATTTTGGGTTGTTAGCGGCCCAAGAACACCCCTTTTTCTTCTGTTTATCATAGACCTCACTTTCAAGCTGTTAATAAGAAACCTCCTCTAAAGAAAAATGGCTCAAAATATTCTACTAAGAATTTTATTCTCTCACAACCTATCAATAAACTGCAATATATCTGTGATATTTTCCTTCTTACCCTCACTATAACAAGTGTATTCGCGATGTAAACACAGTACAACTAGCATTAAGATGTTTCCACACAGAACAACGCCCTGTAATAGCGTGGCGGTGCTGTACACACTGTGCGGTAAAACACATAACAGCCAAAGAAAGCACATTTAAGTGCATCTATCTTCAAAACCTGCTTTTTTAAGCTAACGAGACTTACTGTTAAACCCATTTGGCGAGGAAAGAATGGCCCCTGTAAGTATTGAACTCTTTCAGCTCAAGTTTTCCGATCAAACTAAGAGAAATCAAGCGATTTCGTTCAGTCTAGACTTGAACATACTGTCGGTTCACCTGATTTAGAGATGAAATAGAAGTAAAACACTTACTAGTTATAATTCCTGTCCGTTTGGAAATTTTTTTGGTCCTGCTGAGGTGGCGACGCTTACAAGACTAGAGCGAGACTCTGCACTGCAAAGTCAAACAAATAATTTCGCTACGTCTTTTTTCTTTTTACACTAGACATTTCTTTCGGCTCAGAACTCTAAACTTCCAGCTATCTATGCATGAATACTTCTTCTAACTATTCGTACTCTGCTCTATATATGTTCTCCCCTATGCGAACGTTATACACAAAAGGTTGTTTAAGATTTAATAATTAAATGGTTGAGCTATAAGAAAAACTTGCATTACTCGCCTGGGACTGCGAAACACGAACATTGCACTTGATTTTAGTGACATATCTTGGGTAGTTTAGGGCCCAAATCTGCATGTTGAAGTACACCCCCTTTTTTTTTTTTCATCACGTCTGTCACATTCAAGTTGTTATAGCGAAACAGCCCCGAAGATCAAGTGACTCAGACCTATCGTTTACAAGCTAAGTAAACTGTATAGCGAATTTTATTGTCTAAAAATGAAACTAAAGACACCTTTTAGAGAACAGTCTTTTGGTCATTTAATCTTCTTTGGCGTTGTTCGGCGGTGTAAACAATGCAGTAAGTGTAACAATGTGACGCCCTGTAATTCTGTAATTGAACTAGATCAACTGAAGTATAAAGTTGAAAATGAGCCAAAATTCGAATTAGACGATTACAAGGATAACGATGAATCCCTTTTATTTTACACAGGATTTCCTAGTTATACTACAATGATTTCGGGCTTCGAAAATTTCCATTAAAGAGGTTTAAAGATAACTAAACAAACAGTGTTGACATCAAGCTAAAATACCTTATCACAAGTTCTTCTCTTTTGCCACCAACTTTCGTTCCACGGCAGCTTAACCATCGCTTTAGAAAGTTAATGGTACATTGCTCAACAGGTGTATATAGTTTTGCGCCTGAAATATCATCGTTTAGTAACAGGCTCGTAATATTATCTTTTTCTACTGATAACTCTGTCGTGATTAAAATTCGCGGACTATTCCCGCGTCTCCAAAAACAGCTCCAGGGTGCTTCGCGTGTTAAGTTCTACCCCAGTCTCCCATTGAATTCCGGAAAGGACCATTAGGATAATAAATATTTGTAACCCTACGTTTAGTTGTGTTGTTGCGTGTCTTTTAGGGATTGTTTGTGCTTGGGGTTTTGTCTATGTTAGAGGGGCTCACCTTTGTGGCGCGGAATCGTCACAGCAACGAAAAGAAAAACTTTATCCGAACTAGAATTACAATTTTGTAATGTGTCATGTAACCTAAAAACAAAATCAGTATTTGGTAACCCAATATAATTTGCGAGCTTAATTATTAACTCGTTGGGTGACCGCTCTTTACTGATTGAAATACATACAATATTGGAAAAAAAAAAGGCGGTGATAGGTAAACCATTTATGCAGATAGCTTGATATCAAAACATCCCCTAAGGCGAAATGGTTCAGTCCTGTCTATATTAACGCACATCATATCTATTACGAATCTTCTTGGCTAGAAATGTATTGATTAAATGTAATAACTGTGAGATTCCCCCGTTGACATCACTAACACTAGGTCTGTTGAAGAACCCTCTTAATCAGACTTACAAGATAAAGTGCTCTACACTCAGGTGAACACAAACTAAAGACACTTTCTTACAAAGAGGCGTTGTGGTTATTTCGGGCGGGCGGCATTGGCATTGTTTTGATGGAACAATTTCGGGGTAATAAACCACTGAGAGGATGTATAAAGATAATTGGCAGCTGATATTCCATACAGAACAACGCCTTGGAATTGTGCGACGGAGCTGTAGACAGGTTTTGGAATCAAGGGAAGCAGATATAAGCTCATTTATTGTCAAAAACTCCTAAAAAAAATCTTTTCTTTAAGATAACGAGACCCATCAAGGTAAATCTCTTTGGCAACGAAAGAATGGCTGCTGTAAGTATTGAATTTTTTCAGGTCAAGCTTACCGAACAAATTCAGAGAAATCAAGGCGACAGAAGACGAAAGCAATTTCGCTCACTCTGGACTTGATCATACTGTCGGTCTACTTCGATTTAGAAATGAAATAGCGGAAAAAACCCTCACTAGCTATAATTCATGTCCGTTTGCCAATTGTTTTGTTCCGTGGTTGAGGTATTGAGGTAGCGACGACTATTAGACAAGGTAGGCGAGACTATGCTCTGCAAAGTCAATCAAATAATTTTTCTGCCTCTTTTTATTACACTGAAGATGCCTCTCGGCTTGGAACTCTGAACTCCAGCCATGATCTATGCTTCAGTTACCTCTTTAAACTATTGAGAAGCCTCATTCCATACTCAGCGCTATGTATGCTCTCAGTTTCGGATATGAATCAAACCTCCCTTGAGCGAGCGTTATACATTAAAGCTGTTGAGAAGTTTAGGTATAAATTGAACTGTGAACAACTTGCATTGCTCGCGCAAGACTGCGCGACGCGAACATTGCATTTAATTTCAGCGAAATATTTTGGGTAGTTTTGAGTATGAATTTGTATTGTGAAGAGTATATTTTGTCTTTTGTTCATCATAGCCATCACGCTAAAGTAACCTCGCCGGTTCTCACCCACCCGAAACAGCTCTTAAGGCTAAATTCTATCAATCTTTTTTGTCTAAACGTGAATTGATTAGTTTGACATAACTCTGAAGTTTTTCAGTCTGGCAATTTAAAGAAGTTAATTGATTGCTAAAATCTTGGCTCTACATTCAGATGAGCAGAAACTAAATACACCTTTTATGGAACTGTATTTTGGTCATTTCACGCGTCTTTGACGTTTTTCGGCGGTGAGAACAAGACAATAAGTGCTACAGTGTGACGCCGTGTAATTGTGTGGTGGGGATTTAAACAGTTTTAGAACGAAACACGTTCGCAGCAGAGTTATTGGAGATATTTTGTTGGAC